GTGGGCAGTGGAGGGACAGTGGGGTGGGCAGTGGAGGGACAGTGTGGTGGGCAGGGCCGAAGCAGTAGGGTGGGCAGTGGAGGGACAGTGGAGGGGCAGTGGGGTGGGCAGTGGAGGGGCAGTGGGGTGGGCAGTGGGGTGGGCAGTGGGGGAGCAGTAGTGTGGACAGTGCTGGAGCAATGGGGTGGGCAGGGCAGGAGCAGTGGGGTGGGCAGTGGAGGGGCAGTGGGGGAATTAGTGGGGTGGGCAGGACACTAGAGCAGGGTGGACACTGTAGGTGCTTCATGGATCAACCCTCCATGCCCTTCAGATGACCTTGTGCTTACTCCCTTGCCCTGCATTTTGCCTGTTTCCCTGTGAGGGCCTGTTTGCTTGTGTGCCCTTTGAGCTGCCCACTTTGTTTTTGTGTTTTGTTTTGTTCTGGTTTTGGTTTTTTGATACAGGGTATCTCTGTAGCCCTGGTTGTCCTGGAACTTGCTGTATAGACCAGGCTGGCCTCAAACTCACAGAGTGCTGAGATTAAAGGCCCAGGCCTGGTTTTGTTTTTTGGAATCAGGGTCTTGGGATTCATAGAATCCCTCTGCCTCTGTCTCACAAGTGGCTGAGATTACAGATGTACACAGTCATCCCCAGTTTTACCTTATGTTTTGGGATAGTCTCTTTGATTAGGATCAGGGATCATATGGTCCTCCTCTCCCCAGCGCTGGGGTTAGATATGACACCATGGATGGATTTTTATGTGGGTGCTGGGGATTCGAACGAAGCCCTCCTGCTTGTAGCATGACCGGCTAACCCCAGCTTAGTTCTTATTTTAAGACAATGTCTTACTATGTAGCCGTAGCCCAGGGAATCCCAAGTGTCTGTTAAGGATCTGGTATACAGTAAGCTCACTCACTATACCGACAGAATGATTTCCTAACTTCTCTGGGCCTCGGTTTGCTCCAACTGGGATGCGGTGGCTACCTTACTGGGCTGCCTCTGTCGAGCCAGCGCTGTCTAGGTGCATTTATCCTCCAGGCCATCGGCTGTCTAGGGTCAGGCGGGTGGGTGAGGCGGGCCTGAAGGTTGGATGGAGAAAAGGAGGCGCGGGGACGAGGGGGAAAGTAGAGTGAGGGCAGCCCCTCCACCCGGGAGTCTTTGTCTCTTTTCCCTCAGGCGCCCAGGGACCTCACCATGGCAACCGACTCCAGCGAGCAGCGGGCACGGAAGACGTGGGGACCCGAGGACTCGGCGACTGTGAGACGCAGGGAGATGATTTGGGGCCGCAGGACCTCGCCTTCCCCGCACTCCGCCGCCCGCCCCTAGGTCCCTGAGACTGATCGTGCGCGCGCAAGGCGCACGGAGGGCGCGTTCCAGGGGCAGAGAAGGGACCCGGATTGCGATCCCCCGCGGGGCCGGAGACCCTGAGACCCGCAGGGCCGGAGGCGGAGGCGCCCTAACTGGGGGCGGGGCCGGGGCGGGGCCCGAGCGGCTGCAGAGTCCACAGACAAAGAGCCCGCGCCCGGCGCACCGCTCCCGGCCTCGCGTCCCTCCCACGCGGGGGCCCGGGCTTTGTGTCCGCGCTCTGCGGCGGACTCCGCCCTCCCAGGTGAGCGAGCGGTCTGCGCTCCTGCATCCTCCTTCCCCAAGTACCCCCCCTTCCGCTTCAGCCTCAGTTTCCCCGGGCGGCTTTGTCTATCCCTTGTGTCGCCACCTGGGAACGCCATCTGCGCACCTCCTGGTTTCCAGCGCGCCTTTGTCCCCTGCAACCTCGGCCTACAGCCGTCACCATGATTGCTATGAAGGAGAAGAATAAAACGCCGAAGGACAGCATGACGCTCTTGCCTTGCTTTTATTTCGTAGAGGTGAGTTGGGGAGGGGGGGGCACGGAGATAGGTTTCCATGGCGTGGAGCTTAAGACACCGTCGCCTCCACGCTGCAGGGACAGGAGCCTGCACCGCGGAACCACGGCACTTGAAGCTGGGATGGGGATAAGGCTGGGTCCAAGAAGCAGGGCTCTGCAGGTCGAGTAGGAGTTCCAGAAATGCAGAAGGGTCCTTTAGACTGTGGAAACAGACCAGGAAAATGCTAGAATGGTGGGCTTTCTTTGAAGGACATGGGTGAGAAGCTAGGTCTGAAAATTGGGGCATGGTGGTGAACAAGCCCCAACTGGGGAGGGTGGGTGCTGGGGACTTGGCCCTAGAGCATCTTGGATGTATCTAAGCCCTCTTCTGCTAATGGTGAGGCTGCGTGCCGCCCCCCCAAGACTAGCCAGCTGTGGTGCAGAACTGAGGGGTCTAAAAATAGAAGACAATACATGCATTCACTTGGTGCATACTAAGTGTGGATGATGGCGGTTTTTCTTTGAATGACAGGATTCGGATGGGGACAGAAGCTGGGTGACAGACAAGCCCCGGGTCAGCCTGGAGCCCAGCTTCGTCCCCAAAGCGGATCCCTCCCCGCAGGTGACCCTGTGTGGACCACAAAGCAATTGGGGGAATGCTTAATTAAGTTCCAACATGACAATAGACAACCAGACCCTCAGGCTGACTCTCACCAGAATCCTTTGAAATCCTTCCAGAAATTGCTTACAGCTATTTTTTTCTCGCTCATTTAAAATTATTTTCATGATTGTCTTTAGTACTGGCAATAGAATCCAGATCTGGACCTTGCCAGATCTGAGCTCCACCCTGACCACGCCCCCAGTCCCTCACTGGGGATTCTAGGCGGGGCTGCACCCTGACCACGCCCCCAGCCCCTCACGGGATTCTAGGAGGGGGCTGCACCTTGACCACATCCCCAGCTCCTCATGGGGGGATTCTAGGCGGGGCTCCATCACTGACCACGCTCACCGCCTCTTACGGGGGTGTTCTAGGCGGGGCTCCACCGTGACCACGCCCCCAGCCCCTCACTGGGGGATGCTTGGAGTGGGGCATCCCTGACCACATGCCCAGCCCCTCACTATAGGAATCTAGGCAGGACTCTACCTCTGACCATACCCCCAGCCCCTCGCTTGTGGATTCTGGGTGAGACTCTACCCCAGGATCACTCTCCCAGGAGGCCCCTCTGCTCTGGTCACGCCCCCTAGACCCTCACTGCAGGCCTTCTGGATGGGAGCTCAGTTCCTCAGCCTCATTCTGAATTTTCACTCTGTAGCTCAGGCTGGATGGAAACTTGATTGTATTCCATGTTAGGCTCAAACCCAGTCTTCCTGTCTCTGCCTCCCTGGTCCTGGGATGCTGTGATAGCCAGACCACCATGCGGTGCTAGGGTGGGTGGTGAGAGCTCACCCCACAGTCATAGGATGACAGCAGGTGTCTTCCTCCATTGCTCTTTCACTGGGTCTGTCACAGGGGTCTCCATGGCCTCACCTGGTAGTACCCAAGTTACAGGCCGCACCCAACTACTGTCCCCACCTTGCCTGGTGCTGGAGACTTGAACTTGGGTCCTGGCACCTGGAAAGGAAGTGTTCTTCCCCTAAGGACAACTTCTTCTCATTTTATTATTTTAAGGTTTTTCTCTTTAACATAAGGTCTTCTTTTTAAAGGTTTTAAATATTCTTTTTTTTTTTTTTTTTTTTTTTTAAGTTTTTCGAGACAGGGTTTCTCTGTAGCTTTGGAGCCTGTCCTGGCACTAACTCTTGTAGACCAGGCTGGCCTCGAACTCACAGAGATCCGCCTGCCTCCGCCCCCGAGTGCCCGGATTAAAGGTGTACACCACCACTGCCCAGCAAGACTGGCTCTCTTTAAGTAGCCCAAGTTGATCCAGAACTCAGAGTTGTTCTTTGGCCATGGCCTTCAGAGGGAAGTGCTTAGGCTACAGACACGCACCGCACCACCATTGCGGGCAGAGGGAAGTGTAGCATCTCACACGCTCTGCTGTGTTTGCCCACATTGGCGCTGGCACCCCGAGTGAGCAGCAGATCTTAACCAAAGCGTGGGCCTTAGGCTGTCTTCGCTTGGCTGTTGCTTTATTTTCAGTACAGATGGAGCCAGGGCTCCAGCACACCCTGTAAATAAAGAATCCTATGGGCTGGCGGGCAGCTGCAATTCAGACTCCTGCCAGCAAACCCGACAACTCGAGTTCTATCCCTGCAACTCGCACAAAAGCTAAGATGATTCCCACAGTAGGCCTCTGACTTCCTCACCACCCGATAATGGAAAGGGAAAGGCTAGCCTGGCAGTGGTGGCGCACGCCTTTAATCCCAGCGCTCGGGAGGCAGAGGCAGGCGGATCTCTTCTCTGAGTTCGAGACCAGCCTGGTCTACAAGAGTGAGTTCCAGGACAGGCTCCAAAGCAAGCAAGCAAGCAAGCAAGCAAGCAAGCAAGCAAGAAAGGCAGGGACAGGCTGGGTGTGGTGATGTATGCCTAGAGGAGGGTGTATCTCTGAGTTCTAGGCCAGCCAGGGCTGTTACACAGGGAAACTCTGTCTCAGAAAGAAAGAGGGGAAGGGAGAGGGAAGGGGTGCACGCGTCTGTGTGTGCTAATCCTTTGCTACATTAGTATGTGTTACTCTCATTGGTTAGGTGGGAAAACGAAATTGAGAATGGCAGGAAGGAGCAGGAGTCAGGAGGAAGGCCACATGGCAAAGCATAAATAGAAATACGTGTTAATTTAAGTGTAAGAGTTAGGTACTAACAAGCCTGAGCTAGCATTCAGCCTCTGAGCTGGTTCCTGGGGGTGGGCAGTCCAGACAGGAAACCTTCATCTACAGGCAAGGGAGTTTATTTCCTCACCTGACACAGGTCAGCCACAACCCACTACCTCCTGTATGAGTTGTTTTAAAACTATGGGCACACTCTTCATGTAACCCGCTGAACACTGAAAGATAGAATGGAACAGTCCTGTGTGTGCAGCCAGTTTCATTACGTACTGAAATGTAGCAGACTTTCTTTGGGCCACCAGCAGCCCCCAAACGATGACACAGAGACTGTTATTAGTTAGATCGCTCTTATAACTTATCTTGTTTCTCCTCGTCTACGTTTGCCTCTTTCATTCTGTACGTCCTGCCAGTGGCTGCCTGGCCCCAGACCTGTCCCTCTCTTTCTCCCTCATTCTGTTCTCCTTCCCTCTCTCCTTATTCTCTCTACCCTCCAACCCAGCCATCTCTCTCCTGCCCAGCTATTGGCTGTCCAGCATTTTGTTTTGTTTTGCTTTGTTTCTTGAGACAGGGCTTCTCTTGTAGCCCTGTCTGTCCTGGAACTCATGCTGTAGACCAGGCTGGCCTCGAACTCACAGAGATCCGCCTGTTCCTACCTCCAGAGTGCTGGGATTAAAGGTGCACACCATTCCCCTACACCCGGTATCCAGGATTTATTGAAAACAGAGTTTCAGTACGTAGCTCTGACGGACTCTGCCTCTGTCTCCCAGGTGCGCCCTGCCCTATTCTGACTATACTGATACATTATGTATCTGTGTTGGTGGATGTTTGCCATGAGCACTACATGCATGCAGGAGCCTGTGGAGGTCAGAAGAGGACACAGAAGCCCCTGGAACTAGATTACAGAAGGTTGTGAGCTGTGGGTGCCAGGAATTGAACTCCAATCTGGAAAAGCTGGCAACATTCCTAACTATCACTCCATTTCTCCAGCCCTTGGCTTACACACACACACACACACACACACACACACACACACACACACACATTTGTTGTTGTTGGTTTTTTTTTGGTTTTTCGAGACAGGGTTTCTCTGTAGCTTTGAAGCCTGTCCTGGAACTCCCTTTGTAGACCAGGCTGGCCTCGAACTCACAGAGATCCTCCTGCCTCTGCCTCCCAAGTGCTGGGATTAAAGGCGTGTGCCACCACTGCCCGGCTGTTGTTGTTGTTTTTTCAAGACAGTGTTTCTCTGTGTAGTAGCCTTGGCTGTTCTGGAACTCACTCTGTAGAATAGGCTAGACATGAACTCTCAGAGATCTGCCTACCTCTGCCTCCAAGTGCTGGGGTTAAAGGCGTGCACCACCACCACCACCGACTATATTCATTCTTTTTTGTTTTTATTTTTATTTTTTTAATTCATTCCTTTTTTGCAGCTGGGGAAGCTGAGATAGACAGCCTACCCCCGGCAGATGTCACCCATTTTATTCCTCTGCCTCAGACCTCTTGTACAGAAGGAGATCAATAATATCCCTTAACCTGAGGCAAACTGCCCACCCCTGTCACCCAGCGTTAGAAGACTGAGGCAGGAGGATCGGGAGTTCAGGGCCATCCTCAGTTACACTGTGAGTCTGAGGTCAGCCTGGGACGTGGATGCTCCTTTGATGCTAGCCAGCTCCCTCATCCACTTCCCCGGGTCCTTTCAATGACAGTTATTTCCCTGCTTGGGTCCCAGGGTTCCACCTTCAGGAACTTGGAAGTACTGACACGGGCATCATACTCCGGGTGGCGGAGACATACGCTGGGTTGGTACAAAGGCCTCAGGCATGAATGAGGGACCTCATCACCAGCCACATGTTGGGTGCCATTTGAAGCTGTGTAGGGAAATGCCACTAGGGAAGCTGCTCTAAGTAAGACAGGACTTACTAAGTAAGCCTGGTCAAGGAGCAGCCGAAAGGAGAGGGCTATAAACTGAATATATGTATATGTGTATGTATGATGGATGGATGAACAGATGAATGGTGGGTGGGTGGGTGGACGGACAGACGGGTGGGTGGGCGGACAGACAGACAGGTGGGTGGATGGACGGACAGACAGGTGGGTGGGTGGGTGGATTTATAGGTGGACAAATGGATGGATAGCTGGGTGGATGAATAGAGGGGTGGGTGGGTGGATGCTGGCTGAATGGATGGGTCGGTT